ACGCCTTTAATATATATAGAGGCCCAATGCACATATGTGTGTGTGTGTGTGTGTGTGTGTGTGTGTATGTATATGGAGAGAGAGAGAGATCTTAAAAGATCTTTAAAAATTAAAATATATATGTATTTTGTGAAATCAATGAGGTAAGGAATATGAAAAAAATGGCATTTTTAAACATTTTGATAAGCAATTTTTTACCAGCAGACCAGTTTAAAATCTTAAAATTTTAGCTGTTACTTAGTCCACTTACTTTAGAAGTGAAAAAAAGATGAGTCACCCTTCCCAGTTTTACTAACTGGTAGGCAACAGAGAGGGGACTCCACCCTCCAGGTCCCCTTTGATCTAGCTTTCTTGCCACCAGGCTATACCACCTTTCAAATAAAACAGTATTACCCTCCTATAGTTTACATTTTTATGCTTGCCCAACTTTGGATTCCATTTTTTTAATTAATAAAAATAAATCTCCCACTCAAAAAAAGTAGATAGGGCAAAGCTGGCAGTGGATAATCCATTTCCAAACTGTTATTGAACAAAAATTTTGAATTATAACAATTTCTATTTTTGAACACTGACTTTACACCAGGAACTGCAGTAAGCACTTTTAAAATGTCGTTTCATTTAATCAGCTCAATGAGGCAGGCGTTATTGCTGATGTCTATTTTACAGATAAAGCATCTGGGGCACACTCGCTCACCATCACCCAGTTGGTACAGTTGGCCGTGAACCACCCCAAGCTCATGTCCTTGACCTCTGCGCTACAGAGACGAAGCGCTGTCAATGGAAGACCATATCCATGGACTGGCTGCGGGCTGCACTGCGTTATACTCACCTTTCATCTCCATCATGTGACTACCACAGGCCCTGGCACTGTGTAAGCCAGTGGTTCTCAACCTTCCTAATGCCGTGACCCTTTAATACAGTTCCTCATGTTGTGGTGACCCCAACCATAAAATTATTTTCATTGCTACTTCATAACTGTAATTTTGTTACTGTTATGAATCGTCATGTAAATATCTGATATACAGGATGTATTTTCATTGTTACAAATTGAACATCATTAAAGCATAGTGATGAATCACAAAAACAATATGTAATTATATATGTTTTCCGATGGTCTTAGGCGACCCCTGTAAAAGGGTCATTCGACCCCCAAAGGGGTCGCGACCCACAGGTTGAGAACCACTGGAAGCCTACTTATCAGTTCCTCGAACAAGGATTATTATTTATTCAATGGTGTTGACTCGCTGTTCAAAACTTAAGCCAGTGCCACGCATTGCTTGGTTGGGGAAATAATGATTGACCTGCAGAAACTGGGTGCTGGGGGGAGCCAGGGCCCGGGGGAGGGCTGGAGGCGGGCGCCGGGGCGGGGCTCG